GCTGCATGCCCTTCGACCTCGAAGACTGTCTGGCCAATGGTCCAGATGAAGCCTCCAGTATGGCAGCAACTCCCGCACCAGCAGCTGCTGTCCCAGCACCAGCCACCCCCTGGACCCTGTCATCCTCTGTCCCTTCCCCGAAGACCTATCCTGGTAGCTATGGCTTCCGTTTAGAATTCCTGAAATCTGGGACAGCCAAGTCTGTAACCTGCACGGTCAGTGGCCCTGGGAGGCTGGCTTCCATGTGACAGTTCAATGCCTGACCATATCCCCCTGAGTTTTTCTATTCAGAACACTAGAATCTCTCTCAGCCTTTGGCTTGTCTTTCTACATTCTACCTGTTTAGTCTGTGACCTTGACCTCTGTCCCAAAGTTGAATTCGCTCCCTTGACCTTGGGCGTCATGCTCTCAGCATCTCTCATGAGGCCAGGGAACTCTTCTTTCTCTCTTCGCCCTCTTTCATTCCTTAGCTTTTGTAAATTAGCTCCTGGGACACAGGTCTCCAACTCTGCCATCCCTAGCCACCCTCCCCTCACAGTACATGGCTTTCAGTTGGTGCTTAAGCAGTGCTTGTCCCCTGACCTCCCGTTCCTTCTTTCTCCTTCTCCTACAGTACTCCCCTATGCTCAACAAGCTGTTTTGCCAGATGGCAAAGACCTGCCCGGTGCAGCTGTGGGTCAACTCCCCACCCCCGCTCAGCTCCCGGGTCCGTGCCATGGCCATCTACAAGAAGTCCGAGCACATGACGGAGGTCGTGCGGCGCTGCCCCCACCATGAGCGCTGCTCTGACTATAGTGACGGTGAGAGTCAGGCTGCAGATGGGACAGGGCTGTGGCCCAGAGGCCCCAGGTGCCTGATTCTTTCCTAATTGCTCTTAGGTCTGGCTCCTCCTCATCACCTTATCCGGGTGGAAGGGAATTTGCGTGCCGAGTATTTGGATGACCCAAACACTTTTCGACATAGTGTGGTGGTGCCCTATGAGCCTCCTGAGGTCTGGTTTGGCAACTGGGGTCTCTGGGAGTGGGGGGGCGGGGGGGGCGGTTAGAAGGGTTTGTCAGTGGCCGCCCAGCTGGGATGTGTGCAGAGCAGCAGATGGGTGATTGCCATTCCACAGCTGCGGAACTGTAGCTCACAGAGGCTACAGGCGTCAGGGCCGGGCGACCTCACCTGGGGCCTCTTTTCTCCCAGGTGGGCTCCGACTACGCCACCATTCACTACAACTTCATGTGTAACAGCTCCTGCATGGGGGGCATGAACCGGCGGCCCATCCTCACCATCATCACACTGGAAGATTCCAAGTAGGGACTCGAACACCGCCCTTTATGCTGGCATGCGCCTCGCTAGCCTCTGCCTGTCTCTCCCCTGCGCCCTACCCCTCCACCGTTTCTCCAGGACTACCAGCCATCCTTCCCTCTCCCATTCCTATATGTAGAACCTCCTTGTTGCCGCGCCGCCCCCCCCCCCCCCGTTTTCTTTTCTCTGCTTTGCAACCTCTAACCTGTGGCTTCTCCATAGGCCTGGCCCTGGAGCTTAGGCTCCACATGGGATGAAGGT